CCCCGCAGACCGCGTCGGCCGTCGCCGTGCAGTTGGATTTCTGGAGGCGGTTGATGAGGGCGCAGGACAGGCAGGGCTTGCAGCCGTGGTGTCCCCAGCGGTCCTTGAACTTCCTGGGAGGGCAGGCCACGCACTGCGCGTCCCCACCGCTGCCGTCACCGCAGTCCTGCGAGGGGCCACGGTGGGTTCCAAATGGTACCAAAGGAACAGTGTCCCTTCTTTGGGGGAAAAGGGTAGTGGGGCCACAACTCATGTGCGGGGTTCTCAGAAGCCAGGCGAGAGCCGCCGCCAGCACGGCTCCCCCAGGACACTGTCCCATGCCCTGGTCGGGGCCCACCGGGGCACTTCAGCTGGTGGAGAGCTCTGGCAGCACCATGCCCAGGAAGGCACCTCTGGGGAGACCCCACTGGGACTCCCCACACTGAGGCTGGGCCAGGACCACCCACAGCATTGTCCTGCTGGCACCCACCCACGTGCAGCCCGGCCAGGCAGCATGACCTCACTCAGAGCTATGGACCAGAGGAAATTCAGACTTCCACCAGCAAAAAAGGAAATAAGGCAGCACGAGGAGCAACCTAAATCCCTCACCACCTCCTGCTTCCATTGTCTCGCCCTCCTACCCAGGGGGAGTGAAACAATTCACCATCCCATCCTGCCATGTCTCAGCTCTTCCCAACATTCCGGGACTTAAGATCATCCTTCTGAAGGGAGGCAGGAAGAGGATTCACCCAGCACTGTAAAAGCCTTGGTGATAGATGACTCCCTCTCCTTACAGAGCAGTCAATTTACCTTGGAAAGCTCCTGCCCAGGCATGCACTTTCTGCAGGGGACACATTTCTTCTGGTCATCCAGGTACTCGCTCTCTTGGCAGGCCATTGTGCTGGAGATGAGTGGGGAGCCTGGAGAAAAGAGGAAGAGAAGGCAGAGGGGTCACAGCCAACCCCAACACCTTTGGAATGAACGGTGTGCCCATCTCTGGGTGGCCATTTCCATCTGGCCAGGATGGCAGCTGGCACTGCTGGGCACCACGGGTGGGACTCAGGCAGGAGGTGGTTGCTGATTCCTGCTGCACAGCTCCGGCAGTCTCAGATGGGCTCACAGGGGAGCACGGGACCAGTGTCTCACTCAGAACAAGCAGCTCAGGCTGAAGCTACAAACCTGAGCAGTTTATTTGGAGTTTTGGGGCTGTCTGATCAGTTCTGGTTTTTGTAGTGGAGGTGGAGCAGCTGCAGGACCCCCAGCACCCCAACAGCTCCCGAGAGAACTCCTTCCCCTCCCACGGCAGCATTCCTCCACAGGCTTTTTCTGCCTCCTCTGCCTAATTCCACCACTCCCTTGCTGGTGCCTTTTGGAAGCAGACACTTGGCTGGGCTCCCCCAGCTCTGGAGGGCCGAGATTCATGGGAGATGAGGTCTGCCCGGACGAGCACAGTGCGTGAGTCACCCTCACGCAGATCCGGCTCACGGTGCACGGGCTGATACAAGGATCGGCAGCTGATCCCTTAGGGACAGGCCATGAGGAGCTGAAGGGGCTAAATCTGTCTTGCAAACATCTCGGGAGGGGCATGGGCACAGCCTATAAATAGCATTAAGGTTCCTGACGCTATTGAATAAATAAAGGAGGTTTGTCACCATCTCAGAAGGTGGTGAAGAGGGAGCTCAATGCCACCGCCCTGGGATATGCACTGGGTTTCGTGTCAGCGTTCAGCTACACGCTGAATGCAGGAGAGAAAATGAAGAGCAGAGAGATGGGTCCCAGATGGGTGACACCCAACTGCTTTGTGGGGCTGGCACAGCAGTGGCCTGAGCCCAACCTCTCTGTGAGTTCGTGCCCGCAGCCAGGCTCGCCTCTGCTGGCAGGTGCCTCTGGGGTAGGGGGTCAGCACAGCCAATGCTCAGGTCTGGAGTCTGGTTCCAGCTTTTGCACAAGATGAATGAAGCAAAATTGCAGGCAACAGGAAAGGAGCCCAAACACCAGAGTGTGGAGAGCAAGGGACTGATTTTTATCTGCTCTCCAAAGTGCTGCTGTATCACCAAAAAAAGGCGCTGGTGGAAAAAAGAAAAAAAACAACAACTCCTCCCACAATAAAATACCCCCAACCAGCACACTTTTTGGTGAAACTGTCCAGAAACACAACCCAATCACTTTCATATATTTACAGATTTTTTCTGAAGGGCCTGCAGCTGGATGCCCTCACAGCCCCCTCCCCACAAGAGTCCCAGCTTAAAGCAGTTCTCCAAATACAGAAAGTTACACAGGCCAAAGGAATCCCACAGCAGAGCTGCTCCACGTGTGAGGATGTCTGCCAAGATGATGGAATTGCTGAGGATGGGGGAGACAGCCTTCCCTGCTGTGCCAGCAGCATACTGGGCACAGGGCAGGCCTGCTGCTGCTCAAATCACAGGGTAATGATAGAAGGAACAAACACTTTGTTGAGTATCTGGCATGAAATCCAAATCTGTGGGATCTTTGTACTTCTTCTTATTTCAACACTACCAGACCCAAGACACTTCATTTGTATGTGGAGGACACATCCAAAAAACCCGATGCTGCCCCAGTATGGCAGCAACCCTGGATCCTCTGATGTGTGACTGAAACAACTGGTCCTAATGAACTGAAAGAAAAAGTCAAGAACAAACAACAAACCCTCCCATCTCTTTGGGAACCACATGGGGTCTCCAGGTGACTGCCAGAGTAGCAGACTTATCTGCCGAAGAGGAATATAAAGGTAACACAGTGTCAGTGAGTATACCTTGGACACATTATCAATGCACTTATAGGTTGGGGGAAAGAAGAATCCTGCCCTAGTGCAAGATCCATGAGATCTTCTAACTTAAAAACATCATTAATTTGTTAAAGAATTCTTTTATTGCCTTAAAGAGACATCCTGCCTGAGCAGGGAAGCAGAGCAGGCTCCCCACTGCATCATCTCTTAAGACTCCAAACCCACGAGCTGATGAATGAGTTTCACCGCATGAGATGAAATCGTTCCAGCAGTGCCACAGTATGAGCTGCAGTTCATCGGCCCTGTGACAGTGCTGTGGTTCAGCCATTGTCTTTTGTCTGCAAAAGTGTGATTTTCAAAAGAATTTGACTATATAGGAATATAAACTACTACTTCTGCGTCCAGCTAATGGATTCTAGTAGAAAAAAGAAGGTGAGAAAATTAATAAGTGAAAAGGTAGAAAATGAAAGGAATCAGTGAAAGCGTTAGTGCTACTGATTCTCCCCATCTGCCCAGCACATACCAGGCAGCGGGGGCCAGCAGGGATGCAGGCAGTGCAGGGAGGGCAGGGGGAACAGGCTGGAGTGCAGACAGGGCAGGAGGAGGTGGGCTGGGCTGGGCCCTTCTCCAGCCATTGACCCCGTCCCCTCACACCGTGGGTCTCTGTGTGCCTGGGGTAGGGAGTGCCCAGACCCACCTTCAGGGACTTGGACACCTACAACCCGACGGTGGCTCTTCCACATCACAGGAGCCAGCACAACTCAGAGCTTTTTCCTCTGCAGCAGGACCGACTGGCACAGCCAGGCAGTACCATGCCTCAGATGAGACACTTGTATACATTGGAACTCTATTTCAGAGAGCTGAAATCCTAAATAAGAGCTGCAAGTGAAAAGCAGGGAAAAAAATGTTATCTGGAAAATATGAGTGCACTCCTCGTGCTTGGCCACAGGCAGTCCCGGACTCCTGCTCAGCCATTCTCCCACTCCGGTCCGGGCAACGTCTCTGCCTCTCCCTGTGCTACAAACTGTGCTGGGAGAGTCTCTGCTGCAGTGGAGGAAAGAGGTGGAATCTGAGGCTTTCCACGTGGCTTAGAAATCAGCAAGTTTTCCAACACTTTTGGAGATTCTACGCACACAATTGCCCACTAGTCGTTTAATCTGGAGTGGCTGGGAACTTCTGTTTGCTTTAGGTGAAAGCACCGTGCTCTTGGGTGGGGAGGGGAAGTGCTCCGGGCTAATCTCACCCGCTTCAGAGCACGGCAGGAGTCCCCAACGCTCACTTTCCAATGATTTTTGCCAAGTTCAGGCTGTCCACCTTGGGGACACACACTCTGCCTTACCAGATATCTACAGTAACACTTCCAAAGCTCTTATCAATTTGCATAAAACCTGGGATTTTTTTGCCCCACATCTAATTCTTAGTAATTGTCATTGTCTTGTTGCAATGATCATAGAATCACTGAGACTGTAAAAACCCTCCAAGATTTTCGAGTCCAGCCGTTCCGCCAGCACTGCCCAGGCTACGACTAACCCATGTCCCCAAGCGCCACATCCACACGTCTGCTAAATCCCCCCAGGGACGGGGACTCCACCACTCCCTGGGCAGCCTGTGCCAGGGCTTCTGGGGAAGAAACTGTTCTTAATATCTAACCTAAACCTACCGACCTCCGCACCTTTCTGCTGCTCATTTCTCACAGAAAAGCGGAGGCGAGGCTGTCGGCGAGACGACTGCGGGGGCAGCGGGCCGGCGGGGCGGTGCGTGCGGCGGGGCCGCCCACGCGGGTGTCGGTCGTGGGCGCATCCCGGGGCCGCCCCGCTCTCCCGGACACCGCCGACCCGGATCGGCCCGGCTCGCCCACCGCCCCCCGGCCCTGCCCGGCCCGACCCCCGCGGCCCCGCCGGCGCCCCCCGCCGCCCGTCGGCGGGAAGGCGGCAGCTCACCGGGATATGCCCGGACACGTCCCGGCCAGGGGCTCCGCCGCGGCACGACCGCCCCGCACAACCCCGCCCGGCTTTCTGGGCACCCCCGGGACCACGGCCCCGATCTTCACATCCCCCGGCCCCCGCACTCCTCGGCCCGGTACTCCCGGCGTTCGGAGACGATGACGGAGCCGGCTGCAGTCCACGTGTATCGCTGCCGCCGCGCTGCCGGGAGCGGGACCCGCCGCAGCTCCCTCCGGTCCCCCCGCCCCCGCAACCGGAGTGACACCGGCACCGGAGAGGATCGGGACCGCCGCGGGCGGGCGGGCGGGCGGGCGGGCAGGTGCGCGGACCCCACGGCTCACCTGTGTCCCGGTGCTGGCAGCACGGCGCGGACCGGGATCGGGCCGGCAGGACCGGCGGCACCGGCAGGACGTGGGTCCCAGGGCAGACAGCGCGGACCGGGATCGCACCGTCGATGACTCCACAGACTCGCGTGGAGCGGAGCGGCTCGGAGCCTGTCCCGGGCACCGGGAGCAGCCCCCGCGCCCCGCCCCGCAGGCCCCATTGGCGGTGCCGCCGCCGGGGCGGGGCGATGCGGCGGAGCGGGGGCGGCCGAGAGCGGCGGGGCACGGCGGCGGGGCTGGCCCCGGGGCCGGGACAAGAGGGGCCGAGGCCGTGGTGCCGCGGGGCATCTGGGCAGGGCAGCGACGGGGCGTCCCGGGGCCGCCGGCCGCGGTGTGAAACTACAGAACTGCCGGGCGTGCGGGACCTCGTTCCCTTTGACCTGGGCTTGTCCTGCACATCGGCTGGGGGCTGGAGGCTGCAGGAGCCCCGGGCCCAGCCGTCCCTCTCCAGCCGTGGGGGAACACACGGCAGAAAGGAATAAACTCACCAGTTCCGACTGTAGCTGTGCCACTAACAGCGTGTGTACAGTGTGTATACCGAGCGTGTGCTCTGCGTGCACTCTGCGTGTACAGTGTGTGCACTGTGTGTGTGGGCAGCACACACCGGGCATGGCCAGGCCCTGTGCAGGGGGCTTCTCCCAGCCTCAGCATTAAACCTCTCCCAGCACTTGCTGTGACTCACCGTGAGGCCGTGGGTGGTTCCAGGGAGTCATCCCGAAGGTATTCCAAGATTGCCACTCAATGACTGACTCTACCACAGAGTGAACTGAACTGGTGTTCGGAACTGAAGCTCCTTGTGCAGGGGAACTTGATTTTCCTAGGGATACAGCCCTTGACACTCCCCTTTCAGTGCACTGTACCCCCCAAGTGCTGGCCCCCAGTCCTAACCTGTCAGGTTCATGGCAGGGCCCTACTGCCTTGGGCAGTACTGGTTGCTGTGCCAAGATATGTACTCTTTTCTCTCTCTTTTCTTTCAAGACTCCAGCACTCTGACTCCAACCGGTGCTTTTGAGAAGTTCCCTAAGTTTCTGATGGTCACTGTGTAGCAGCTTCCAGAGAAGCCAGACTGTCAGTTTGGAATAATTGAAGGGATTACATTAAATTCCATTAAGCAGTTTTTAAGGTTGGAAAAGGCCTCCAAGAGCATCGAGTCCAACCATCAATCCAGCACTGCCAGTAAACCATGTCCTCAGGTGCAGCATCCACTTCCTTTTTGAACAACTCCAGGGGTGGTGATTCCGTCACTGCCCTGGGCAGCCTGTTCCAGTGCCTGAACAACTTTCATGGAAAACATTTTCCCTCACTTCCAACCCGAACCTCCCCTGATGCAGCTTATGATTGTTACCCTTGTCCTGTCCCTTGTTCCCTGGGAGCAGAGCCTGATCCCTCCCCGGCTCCCCCCTTCCTGTCAGGGAGTTGCAGAGCCAGAAGGTCCCCCCTGAGCATCTTTTTCTCCAGGCTGAGCTCCTCCAGCTCCCTCAGCTGCTCCTCATGAGACCTATGCTCTCCCTCCCTCTTTCCTCACTAACTTGTCAGTGCCGCCGCCTCGCAGGCGACAGAAGCTCAGAGGAGCCGTTCTGGGGGAGTGAGGATGATATCACCGCTTACACGGGCAGGCGGCTCAGCGGGGCCGTGTCTGATGCAATCGGCCGGCGCTGCAACGCTGCCGCCCCTTTGCATCACTCGCGGCCGTGGGACGGGGAGGCTCCCGAGGCGAGACGGGCGGGCCAGAAACACCGGCGTCTGCCCTGCGGGAGGCTAGCACTGGAATGGTTTCGCTGAACACAGTCCCGTCAGCAGAGGTCACCTGCGGAACGGTTTTCTGCTCTAAGGGAATGCATTAGGGGAAGGATCTACCGATAGAGCGTCCGGCTGCTGGGTGGGCATGGGCAGGGCTGCCCCAGCCCGGCCGGTTCGTGAGTGTTTGCGATGGTTTGTGAAGGTTTGCAGTGCTGGTCGGTGATGCTTTGTGGTGGTCAGTGGTGGTCTGTGGTCATCCCTGCTGTGGGGCTGAGAAGCTGCGCTGCAATGACCAAGCCCACCAGTGCCGTGTCTGAGATAGAGGTGGGCAGCCCCACTCCCAACCCAGTTCCTGTCTGTGGGGCCAGCTGTTACTGAGGTGGGTTATTTCCTGGCTCCATCAGCACCTCGCAGCCACAACCAGAAGAACAGCTGGGAAAACTGGTATTCCAGATGCAGGGATAGCTAGGTTAGGTAGAGTGCAGTACAGCCGGCAGATCTGCGTGTGTTTTTCAGGCTGAGGCCCTTGAGATGTTAGCGTCAGCCGACAGAGCCAGGTTCTCAGGTATCTGGTTGTGCTGCTATCACCTGATATGCTCAGGGTCACGTTGCATTTGTTAAGTTGTAACTGTGCAGCGTAATTACCAGAATTGCTGCACTAAGAGTCAGCAAAGCCAGGAATTCGAGGCAGGGATATTTTACAGGTTTTTTACATACTGGAGTGTTCACAACACTAGGGAGCGCCGAGACCAGGCAGGAATCAGTCGTGGAGGTGAAGCAGACTGTGAACACCCCTGCACACGGGCGCACACAGACACACGGACACACAGGCACACAGACACACGGACACACAGGCACACAGACACAGCCTCCTCTGACACAGGAGGATCGTCCACTTAACACATGATGTGGTGCAAAAGTCACTCAGAGGAGTGAGGCTGAATCACGGGTGTTTCCGTGGGCGCCGAGGGTATGGGGAGCCCTCGGGCAGGCAGGCACGGGCAGGACGCGGGGCTTCGCCGCAGAAGTAGCGGGAGGGACAGGCCAGGGTGGTTACAGCCTTTCTCCAGAGGGCAATTGTTGGGGTTTCGTGCTGCCAGAGGAATGAAGAGCTCAGGATCTCTGTGAGTAACTCGGCTAACACCGCTCGGGCTCCCGCAGAGGCTGCTCTTGTCTGGTGTCAGCAGAGGGCACTGGGTGATCGCCGGGAGCCGTGTCATCTCCGCCCAATCCGAGGCACATCTGCAGTTTTCCAAGCTTCATGTACGAAGGTCACAGACTGAGTTATGCTTTGTCTTAAATGCTTCATTTCTCTCCTTTTGTTGTTGCACCCAGTTTCACTCATTCTCTCTTGTCCTGTCCACTCCTCTCCTCTCTCCTGCTGCTGTAAAAAGCAAGGTTTTCTGATTTCACTTGCTGCCACTGATTCCATCCGACTCTGAGGACACATGTAGCTGCTCTGATGTGGATAGCAAGTAGTCCATCTGCAGCTGAACAGAATCCAGCCTTAAATGTGTCTGTACATCCTCTGTCAGAGCTGCATCTGGGATCAACAGGTGGGTAGAAACTCAGCAATGGTAGGAGCCATTAGCTACTGCCTAAAGTGTGCCTGCAGGATTTAATGCAAATCAACTGTTCTTACCTACCTGGCAACAACTATGGCTGTTGCACAGCTGTGATGTTATTGCACAACTAAATAACATTTCAGCCTTTGCCCAACGAATCTTGCAGAGAACAGCTTCAGAAGGGCTGTCACAGCATGAAGGCAGTTGCCTTCAGTGTGGTTTTTTAACATAACGGTATCTTTTGCTCTCACTTGCTCCCACAGCTTCATTCTATGCAACTGATTATATTTTTGAATTGATTTTTCAAACTTACTTTCAAATCTGTACAAGAGCTGCCTCTGTATGAGATACGTGGAGTGCCCAAGGGCTGCAGGCATCACTTATTCATGTTTTCCACCCAAAGATGAGCCCTGACATTGCACCTTAATGCTGACCTGTGGAAACTAAGAAAAGCAGACTCATTGTTTTTCAGCCACTGAAAAATTTCTGATCAGAAAAGGCTGCCCATGGCACACACAGTATCTTGCTCTGCAAGACACTTTCCAAGCTGAGTGGCATGTGCATGACAGGAAACTTGTAGTCATCTACCACCCATGTCCATATCTGCAACCTTAATTTATGGCTGGGTTATTGTTTGGTGACCTTTTGTCTTTTTTTGGGGCAGTGACAATGTAGTATAAACAGGCAGCTGTGTCCATGAGCCTATTCCAGGTCGTTTTCACAGCACAGTGATCATGAACACAGGGCAGTTCCTGCTGCCAGGGCCTCTCCACTGCGGGGCAGGCAGCTCTAACACTGCCAGGTCGGGATGTGGGGCTGCAAAAGTAGAAACTGCTTAAAGATGAGCCCAGGCCATAATTTCATTCAGTACACATCATGGAGGAAAGGGTCAGAGTGTCAGTCTGCTCTGAAGGCCAGGTAGAGACACTTGCACCAGGACCCAGTGCACTCACAGCTTCAAATATTTCTTGGCCCAGGCTATTTGAGTGCCTAGGAGAGTAGCTCAGGAATCCAGGCAATGTCACTGTTTGATTTTTTTCTTCCTAGGCTCATTTTCTTTTGAAAGACAGAAGCAAAACATATGATCTTCTTTTCCTCCTGCCTCCAGCATCTTCCTTGGCTAATTTTGATCTGACCACTTTGGTCACACTCCAATTTCGTTCACCCATCTACAGACCTCAGCTTTTCCAAATTCCCTAATTCCTCTAGAGGCTGAAACATGTCCATGGACAAGCACAAACCTGAAGACTCCCCAGAGCAGGAAAACATGTCAGGCCCAGTTTAGCAAACCCCAGCGGGCAGCGTGAGGAGCATGGGGCTCCTCACTTTTTGCTCTTTCCCTCCTGCTCCTTAGACAGAGAATCACTGAGGTTGGAAAAGTCCTCTTCAGACCATTGAGGCCAAGCTCTCCCCTAGCATTGCCAAGACCACCACTAACCCATGTCCTCAGGTGCCACATCCACATGTCAATTAATTCTGTCCAGGAGTGGGGACTCCACCTCTGCCCTGAGCAGCTGTGCCAGGGCTGGACAGCCCTTTCTGGGAAGAAGTTTTCCCAGTGTTCAACCTAAACTTCTCCTGGTGTAATTTGAGGCTGTTTGCTCCTGTTCTGTCCCTTGTTCCCTGGGAGCAGAGCCCACCTGGTTCCTGCCTCCTGTCAGGGAGTTAGAGTGTG